AAATACAATTAATAACCAAAGTATAGTGCATTGTGTGAGGACAAACATTATCCTGTTGGAGTACAATTCCTTTTCGGTTGATCAAAACAGAATAACGCTCTGACAACTTTGAGTCCAATCTTTCCAGTTGTTCGTAGTAGAGTTCAGAATTCATAGAACATCCATCAGGAACAAATTCGTGATGAATAATACCTTAAAAATTCCAAAAAACGCAAACCATGACTTTTTTTTCAAATTGCCCTCTTGCAGTAATCGGAAAAGCAGTTTGAGGGCGATCTAGCAATTGCTCACGGATATTTCGCCAGTAAAACCACTTTTCATCACAGGTGACAATCTTCCGGTAAAATCTCATATCAGAATGGTTTTTCAATAAATTTTCACAAATTTCTAACCTCTTAGCTGATTGCTGAGGAGTAAATTTGTGAGGGACTAGTCTAATGCTCTTTTTCACCTTCCCCATGGAGAGTAGATGGCGATTGACAGTATCTTTCGGCAAGTTCTCGAGTACTTGTAGACGGATTTGACTCGTGGGCGGGGTGGCCGAATGGGCTAACGCGTGTGCACTGCACCGCCGTTGCCCGGCAACCTGATACATAAGACTTTGATAAAAAAATAGTCACGAGTTCGCGTCCCGGTGCCGGAGGAGTTTTTAAATCCCCGCCCACACTCTCTGGCCCGGGAAAACCACCGTATAGCCTTAAAGGCGAGGAAGGGGAGGACAAAAAAAAAAATTTGACTCAGCAGCTTCCTGCACAACCTCATCAATATCCATAAATGGTCGCCCGCAGCCCTTCTTTCTTTCCAACGTCGTATGTTCACTGCTAAATTATTGAAGCCAACGCCGCGCAGTGCGCTGGTCAAGGACACCTCCATCTTCAATAATTTAATAATTTCCAGTTATGCTTTAAAATTACGAGAATTTCGTAGTACACTTTTTCTTCTTTGAAACAAATGACTAAACAGAGGTTTTTTTTAAAAAGTCGAATGGGATTAAACAAGCTCAGAGAATGCTTTAATGGATTATTAAGAATTGGTAAGTATCAAATAGCATTAAAATATTTATAGTCCTTTGAAATCTGGGATTTGATAACGCGGTCATTTTTTTTTTTTTTTTTTTTCTACACTATTTTAATATCCTGATATAAGATCCTATGGATAGCTCGTCGTATGAAATCGTGCGAGTTTAAAGCCATTATATCATACTGTAAATTTAGATGTATGGTAGATTTTATAGGATATATACATATACAGGATAATATTCTCAAAATTAAATTTTTACCAAACTCCAACCCAGGAATTGCCACTGAATAATACTCTCCCATCCGACAATAATGAATTCTAATGTAATGCAGCAAGAGTAGGTCCTCTCCTAGTGTTCTATTATGCAGGTTAACAACCTCTTTCACCTATCTGGAGTGAGTAAATCCAGATGTATTCTGATCGGGATACGTTTTGACGATGCAGTACCGCACGATACGATACTCACGACGATATCTAATCCGAGGGGCCACACACAGAGCGATACTTTGAAGACATCAACAGAGAGGAATAAAAGGAAAATAATATACAGAACGGCGATAACTTAGTGATACAACTAGCGCCGCACAGTTGGCTGTTATAGCTATCTACCGGGAAAAAAATTTCGAAACATGCATTTATATAAAAAATAATGGAGTATTTACAAAACAACTAGTTATTATAAATATAATAAAACATTATTTAATCAAATTTCACTTATTTTTATGACTTACTTTAAATTAATTTCGAATAGCTCTTATTTTACTAAATAAGATTTTTAAAAAATTAATTTTCTAGTAAAACTTTATAAAATATATTACACCATTAAACGAACTATAAAATAAGCTAATTTATAATGACATTTTATATAAATCTACATCACTATTATTATTAATTTCTTCACTTTCAAATTGTGAATTTGTTGTACATATTTAGAAGTTGCCGCATTGAACTGAATTTCAACATTTTTTAATTTTTTTTTTCTTTATTACAAAGCTAATTTTAGTAAGAAATAGGTTCGGAATTACGAATCTGCTTTCCACTGTGTCGCATTAGAATATTACATGAAATTATTAAAAATCGTTTATTATTTTTTTTTCTGCTAACTGTGATATAATGTAATAAAGTAATTACTTAAATTATTTTTTAATTTAAAAAATATTCGTAAAATACAATATTTAATGTGAGTTTAATAAATAAAATGTTCCAATAAAAAATAATGAATTCTATAATTTGATATAAATTAATAAACTATAATAATAATGTTTAACAATCCTATTAATGATAACATAAAATGTATTTCAATATATTCCGCTTTTTAAAATAGTAATAATAATTGGCTCCTTAAATCTGAATTTATTTCTTATGTTTTTACGTAAGGATTTTCGTTATTATACCTACATCAAAAATAAGCAAGATGAACCACTGAAAGAAATACACATAGAAAGTACATAATCTTCTCCGGTATTGGCGCCTATGTTTCAAAAATATTTTTTTAAAAACATAATAATAAATAAATTTCTTCTTTAAACTATTAGTTTATATAATCAAATTCAATGTGGAAAAACTTTTCTTTCTTTTTTTAAATAAATACGATAGCGTTTGTATTTTTGGTTGTTTTTTCCAGGTCTTGCTATTTTTGTTTTAAGATTTTTCCAAAAATATGCATTCTCTAATTCTACTACATACAAAAAAAAAAATAATAATAATAATAATTATATATATATTTAAATAATTGTTATTTCTTGTTTTTCGATATAGAATCCTTTAAAATGTTTTAATTCAAAATATGCACGCCTAAAATGTAATTTTTTTCATTTTGTATCGAGATTAAATAAGGAAGGAGATAATATTGTATTTAACATCATACCATCTTTTTGCGTAAGCAATTGCTAGTTTCTGGATGAGATTAGTTCCCAGAGGTTATTGCGTTAACACCTCTTTAAATATTTGATTGTTACTAATGAACGTATAACGTTTGTTAGATGTCTGTTTCAGTATATTAAAATACAGGCAATATTTTTATGCTCGGCGTTTGCGTGTGTTTATTTCTCATCGTCTGAGTCTCAAGTTCTCCGCAAGCATGACATGTGGAGTTGGATCTTCTCAAACCTTGTTGATACCTACTCACAATATTACAATGAGTCAAACTAATCCGGAATGAAGAGACTGAAAGACGTCAATAGACAACAGTGTGCCAGTGCCAGTGTTACACATATTCGTAGGATACAAGTTCCCTGATGTGAGTATATAATGTTCACATGACTGTGTCGAAAATTTTAACATTTCCTTATTATAATCTATTGAAAGTTTGGTTGAAGTGTTATTATAGTAGTAGCGATAGAGGGAATAAAAAAAAAATCCCTGACCTATGGTTCTTAGCTTTATCTGAGAGAGATAAAGTAAATATAATAATAATTTCCTAAAATGAAATTACTAAAATACACGCATAACAAAAATTGAATTTTTTAGATAATACGAATAAAGCTAAAGGTTAATTATTAATAACAATTTTCGTGTAGAGGAGGACTTTTTTTATTTAACTTGATATTTTTTAAAGTAATCAGTTTCGTCGGTTGAGATACCTCACAGTAAATAGTAAGACGTAAAGATTAAATGATGATAATCTTTGTGATAAAATTTCGAATAACATCAATACAAGTAATTTTTATCTATGCCGATTTAAAAAAAAGAAGAAATAAATATTATATATTTAAACTAATGTATACATATATCACTTCGCTACACCGTTGAAATCTACACATTAATATATATCACAATAGACAAAAACAAAATTTGTATACTCTAATTTTAATTACATAACAATTTATGTATTATTTTTATTATGTGTATTTATTAATGTAACCTGAGAGACCTATCAATAGATTATTTTGTTGAGAAGGTTCATTTTCATACCTACTAATTTTATGTATTTTATATATAATACATACAAACACACATTTTTATATATATATTTGTCGTAATTTTTTTGTGAATTCTGATTTAAAATTTGTTTTTGTTTAATAAAAATTAGACCCGTAAGTGGCTAAATCTACGGAACCAACAAATACCGAATAAACTTAGATTAGTTAAACTTCCGTTAAGATGAAGACATGCTTCAGACAATCGAGAAGAAACGAAGTTTGTTTGTTTATTTGGGCTTTGAGGCGTAAAACCCTAGGGTCATCAACTCCTGAAATAAGAAATTATTACTAATTCATTTGCGAATAGGACACAGCCACGGTAATCTGGGGACAAAAGAGCCACCTCCAAAATATCAGAAGTGTCAAACAGCTTTAACAGTGAGGCACATTTCGGACTGAGCTGAGTACAGCAGAAAATGGCCAAGGCATTCCTCGATCTCTCACCATGGCTCTAAGTGAAAACCGTAGTTACTTTAATAACGAGACCAAGTTTTTAAAAGAGACAGGATTTCACAAAAGGTTTTGAAAAGTTGAAGTTGACAGAAAATCAAAGAAAATGGGCGATGATAAACATAAAAGTTCTTCGCTCTTTAAATTAAAATAAAAAAAGGATCCGTTTTAATCTTTACAAATAAACGAATTCAATCCAGCGGATAATATATTTTTACGAGCTTGGAATATGTATATGTTACACATATTTAAAGAATAATTCGAAGTGTATGTATCAATTAATAGAAACGCTTCGATACAAGCATAGGTACATTCTATGATAAAAATTGTCAATAAACAGTGAGAAAGAAAAGTCCAAAAAGATTTTAATTTTAATCATATCTAAAAATATTATCATTTTAACTTCAATCAAAAAAAGTTAACTGTTTTTTTTTTGTACTCTATAGTATATCTAATAGCTAATTTTCTGATATAAAAAATATTTAATTTGTTGAAAATTTAATTTTCAAACGTTTTTTATCTAAACTGTAAAGTTGGAGTCTGAAAGTTAGGTGGTTTCATTCTTTAATCTACGACATAATTTTAATCATGGAACTGAATCTATCATACCTTCACTGAAGCACTGCCGCAACGCTACTAACTGATTCTTGACTTCAGTTATCTCTTGATAGATGTAACCTTGACCGCTACAAATCAATTTTTTTTTTTTTGTTTGATTGTTTATTATGATAATCTTATTGATTTTATGTAAGAACATATCAATCCTCACGTGTGACAATTTAGTTTAATTTTCGAATAAATTTATTAATATATTCCTAATTAAATAAACAATACATATCAGAGTTAATTTCTGAGCAATTAACACTTCTTGTTGAATGAGCTGTGGATTTCAAAAAGTTTTTATAGGCAATTTTTATTTACAAAATATTTAATTGTTTTTTATCTGCTTTCTGTTTTTGAACATTTTATATAAATTAAAATATCTATATATGTGAATAGGATCGTGAGAAAACCAATTTTATCTTTTTAAATACGTATAGATAATTCCTAGTTAATAAATATTATAGGAATTTCTTAAAAACGAGGAATATGTCAGATATGCTACATTTAAGCAATTTTATACACTTTTAAAAAATACATTTTATCTGTTGGAAAAGCTATCCTTATTGTAGTATTTACAGTTCTTGAAATTAATTTAGCTTTTTATTGGATCATATTCATGCCATATTTACAGAAAACATAAACAAATTGATTAAGTAATAGCGTATACAAATAAAGAGAAAAAATAAAAATAAATAAATAAAAATAAAATGTACATAAAAGTAATATAAACATATTAAAAACAGCCATACTTATATACACTATTTACAATGAGCCAGGTGAATTTCAACCAATTTTGTTCCCCCACTTGTGAGGGAAGAAGCGGGGCTTCAGGAGATCCCAGCTCTTCTATCGCAACCACTTTACCAGTATTAAAAGCCAATGGAGATTGAGTAAGAGTGCTACGACCTCGTGAAATTAGGGACTGATATTTTTTTGTAAAGCTGAATTTAAATTTTGTTATGTTTCTCAAACGTATTCCAACATAGAATTGTATTTCGTATTAGTTTATTTCAAAATATTGTAATAACAGAAACAAAGATGTCGCTTTTAATCATTTAAAAAAGTTTATCAATCTTATAATCTAAATTTTAATTTTAATTTTTCAATGATGTTGGGTAAAGAGCTGTTGTTCCATATTGTTCTCTGCTGAATACACCCATGACAAGCGAGGATATAAAAAGTTATATAGTTATATTTTTTTCGAATGAGCAATTTCATAGCACGTTATTTTAATGGCGGCATTTATATTTTAAAATTCAATTACTGATCCTATCATCCCAAAATCGGAATTTCGTGTTATCCGAAATAACCCAATCCGAGTTATTCCGATTAAACGGGATTTTTTATATTGTTCATGCTAAGCAACGATTCAGGATTTAATTTGGAGAGAGAACAATTTTTTTTTTTTTTTTGATACCGACAGGACTGCGACAAATTGTAATATTCTAATAAGTGTTAATATAGAAAAAAATTTAATCGACAGGTAAAGAAATAATAGAGTTCTTGGGTATTTTTTGGGGGGGGGGGGTCGAGTGGCCTAATGTGCTAACGCGTGTGCAATACGCTCGTTGTCCGGCAAAGTGATAAATTGCAGTTTAAATTGATAAAATAATTAGGAGTTCGCGCGTCCCGGTGCTGGGGGCTTTTAACTCGGGCATTAATCCTCCGCCCCTCCATGACCAAAGAAAAAACCGTATAGCCGAAAGGCGAGGAAGAGGAGGCCAAACAAAGAAAGTTTTATATATATATATATATATATATATATATATATATATATATATATTCATGATAAATATTTCTGTCTTGCTTACATTTGGAATTGAAATGCGAGCGTTATAATTGAAAATGGAACAAATTGTGTTAATTTATGTATTTTCCTCAGGACAATCATAAAAAGAAGTATAGGCCAATTGAGAAAAAATAAAAAATATTTTTTTTTTATTTGGTAGGGAGGGGGAGGAAAAATAATTAGTTTTCAGCCAGAAATCTCCCCCTTAAATCCACCAGTGATCAGACTAAGAATCTCATTGAAAATTGCTCAGTGGTTTGTCCTCCTTCGAGGAACGATTCATTATTAGTTCCATAAATATTTATATTTGAATACCAAATAGTATTTTAATTAGTTATTAGTTTAAATTAGGACAGCAATTATTAGTGTTTACATCATAAATTAAATATTATGCAAATATTACCAAATAATCAATAATAAATTCAAGAAAAATAGTCAATGAAGAGTGAAAAATAAAAAGCTGGCACACTCACCTATTCAGTATGGGCCAATAAAAATCATTTGCGCCTCTGACACGCCCCCCTCCCAGCCGCTTTCTGGTATATAAATACATCACAGTGTACGGGTAGAGTTCGCAAGGACTGGTTTAATATTAGCATTTGAATACCTTTGCTTTGTTAGAGCTGTTTGTTTTGTTAGTGAGTAATGAGTCATAAAATGGTTAGTATCACAAAAAAAGTTTAGTTTCTGATTTCATGATTACAGTGATTCGTAGTGTAAATAATTATTGAAAAATTAATTTTTCAGTACAAGTTCATATTTTAAGCGAAAATGTATAGAAAGGTTTTTAAAATAATGCAACTGTGTCGAACTCTTTAGCAAACTTTTATGGTAAAACTTTAAATGTTATTAGTAATTTCTAAGGACTTATTAGAGAGAGAGAGAGAATCACTTTATTATCATAAAATAAAATAAAATGGTGCTGCCCAATTACATTGGGTTGCTAACAACACAGCATACTTATTAATCACTACAGACATTATTTAAAATTATTATACAATTATAGGATTAACAATATGTATGAGCATAGTATACAATATTTTATACGTATATATATATATATTATTTTTTTTTTTTTCCTTTTTTTTTTTTATAATTTTTACTATTTCTTTCATTCATTTATTATCATTCTGTACCCTTTCTCTTCCTTCTCTCCCCCTATACATGTTCCCACTCACATTCTCTCCTCTCTCTTTCTAACCTAATACATAAAAAATTCATAAAGTACAGTGGACGTGTTCAATAAATAATAATATAAAAAATGCTGTAACACACGCATGCCTCCCCCCCGCGAGCAAACTCTCCCCCTATCCGCTCCCATGCACATGGTGGTGGATGATTCCCAGGGAGTCGAGGATTATACTCTCTGCCAACCTTGCCACGTCCTTTATGTCGACACCAAGGCCCTCCATGAAGCTCCTTGTTGAGTCTGGTATCGTTCCGCGAGCTCCGAACCAAAGGCCTCTCACGTGGAACTCTCTCGGCCCGAAACTCTCGCGGAACTTTTCACTAAGGAAAGGGATGCATTTCTCATATATCTGTTTTTTCTCCCTTTCCACTTTTTCTGCCTGATCGAGGTCGTTGGTCTCATATCTCACGGTCGGATCCAAAATCATCGCCGACTTTCCCGTCTTAGGGAATGCTACAATGTCGGCATATCGGGTGGATCCATCCGTATCTATACAATATACTTCCTCGAAACAGGCGTATTCTCTCTCTTCAAGGAGCCTCATCAGTTCATGCTTGACTCTGTGGTGACGGCGTGTTATAAGGAGGGAGTTGTTGGGGCATTTTCCAAGCACATGTGCTGGTGTTTCTGGCTCTCTGTCGCATTTGCGACAGAGGGACCCAACTTCTCTTACCTGTCCGCTGACACCTGGGACTCCACGCAGGGGAGCATAATTAATATTTAGTTTCAGGGCATTTGACCATTCAGACCCCGAAAGTACTTGCTTATCATACATGTATTTATTGGCTTTCGGGGTCTCTTTAAAATGGCGAACTCCAATGCCCTGCCACCTGCAATTGGTCCATTCCTCAAACGAATTTTCTCGAAGCGACTGCCGTAGAGCTCTCATATTCCGAATACCCCGATCAACCCCCAATCTCTCGGCACATTCATCAACCTCAGCCGAATAATCAAAGATCGACTGAAAAAGGGCATCGGGCACATTGGACAGTCGCTGAGCAATGGACCAATGTTGTAGAGGAGCCTCCCATTGGCAGCGGATTAATCCTAATCCTCGATACCTCCTGGGAGAGTACAACATCGCCGTGGAGGTGTTCGCAGGGAGTCCAACAATAGCCTTCACACTCCTGCGAATCATGGTGTCGATGCCGTCAAGTACGGCAGGACGCAGCTTTGTGAGGGGCGCAGTTTGGAGAGGGTAAGTAAGACCCGGGAACAGATATTGGTTGACAATGTTTAGCTTCTGCTCCGGCTTCAGCAAGGGAGAGGTTACCAGTTTATTCAGGTTTTCGTTCAATTTGGTCACCGAATCTTCGTTGAACTGTAGCTCTCCCGAGAATGTACATCCTAAATACTTGATTGTATCTCCATTCTGCATTGTTTGGATGTACTCTCCGTTCTCAAGGGAGAGCATCGCGGTTTCCAGCTCTCCTTTATTTAGAACGATGCCCACGCTTTTTTGAGGATTAATAGCCAAACCAATTCCCTCAAATGTCCTCTGAACGCTGCCGATCACTCTTTCTGCAGCCCCCTTGTCACGCGCTGACACGGCCTGGTCATCCGCGAAACCTGTGAGGACCACACAACCTTGGTCACTTTTTAACTTGTATCCAAATTTTTTGGAAAATTCTTCATCGCACAGGTCGCGATAGAGATGGTCAATGGCCAGGTTGAAGAGCGACGACGACAAGGGGCCGCCTTGGGGTACCCCGCGCAGCACTTTGATTTGGCTAGTTGCGTGAACACCGTTACTAATTTTGATTGTGTTCGTGCAGAGGAGAGCCGATATAACGTGTTGAAGATCCGGCGACACACCTCTTGCTTCCAAGGAGCTCACGATATGATTGTGGCCAACATTGTCAAAAGCACCGACAACGTCAAGGAATACCACCGCACAATCTTTTTTCATAATCTTTGCATCTTTCAATACAGCGTCGATAATCCTTGCGTTGACGTGCGTTCCCGGGAGGCCTTTTATAAAGCCTCTCTGATTCCTGTGGAAGGTGACCTGTTTTCTTAATTCGTGGTCCAGAACCTTCTCTATGATTCGGCGCACAATAGAATAAATGGTGATGGGTCTCCAGGAAGGGATTTTGT